CTTCCATAACGTGGTTAAAAGATGGTCAACCAGTAAACACAGCCAGAGGAAATGTGAAAGTAAGCACTACTCTTCTGTGCGATTCAAACCATGAAAGATAGCTACAGGTTACACGTGTTAGTGCTGCTTTTCCTTTTGCTTCCCTCATCCTGTGATATAAAGATGGTAAAGATCCATCCTGGAGAGTGATGGGGTTTTTACCCGAGTCTGACAGTATTTCAGATTGACTGGCAGTATTTAGTAGGCTGAATCCCATTAGACGCCTCCATACCAGAAGAGTCCATGACTGTAAATTCAACATTTGACTCCTTTCAGTTGTACTTTAACCTTTTAAGATGGTGGCTCTACCCACTTGTCACTGTGAGGTGGGATTTAGATGAGTTTTCTATAAGCACTGCCAATGCAGCACCTACCTGTATGTTCGCTTTTCACTGTGCCATTCTGACTTTCAGAAGAGCTCTTCTTGGTGTCTGCATGCTCCAGGGGGTCGAGTGCTTGTAACGGCTTTGATTTACTTTAGACTGGAGCAGTTTTTGACATCTTGCTAGAGGCAGCTCTCTCTGCCTGCAGCCCCTTCTTCACCTTGCTTGCCTGCCCCTCTGCTATCTAGGTCTCCTCGCAGCTGTGCAGCTAATAATCCTTGGGTCCCAGCAGCACTGAAGTCTCTGAACTCCCAAGACACCTCTTGCATGACTCTTAGCCCCAGGTTAGAAGAAATGTGCCGCTGATGCTGTATACAGCCAGTCTCTGCTTTGCCATTACACTTAGTGGCTCTACCTGGGATTGTTGTGTAAAGTGGTTCCCTGCTCTCTGTTTTGGTACAGCTGGAGTCTTCAGGCCGTGCTCTGCAAGTTGTCAAGGCCCTGCTCGAGGATGCTGGCCGATACACTTGTGTGGCAACAAACGCTGCAGGAGAAGCCCAACAGCACGTTCGGCTTCATGTGCATGGTAATGTTTCTGCCTCTAGTTGGAAACTGAATGTGGCTGATTTAAGGCAGCTTTTTCACATCCGTATTCCCTTCTCTGGCAGTTTTGTTGTCTCTGCACATCCATCTTCCAGTTTTCTTTCTTTGTCCCACTCCATCAGTAAGAAGTCAGGGGAAAAGCTGTCTGTCTTGGGATTTAGCCTTTCTCATGTGGCACCAAGGGCCATAGACATAAAAGCTCCTTTCCAGGTAACTCTTTTATTCAGAGGTATCCCAAGAAGACAAGCACATTGATGCTACCATACCACTCGGAGGGATACGTTTCTGAATCAAGATATGATGTACCACTGTTGGTACTGCTAATTTTATCCAAGTCTTCTGGGAATGACGACGTTCCCCATGACCTTGCAGTGGGGAAATTTTAGAGGAGTGGCTTTCCTGAGAAGGAAACATTCTCAGAGGGGATTTTTCAGACTCTTTAAAAGGAATTTTATGGTGCAGCTGAAAACAGTATAAAAGACATAAGGGAAACTTGAGAAGATGTTGTTTGCATGTGAGTTTAATAAATGCTCTCTCCACGATGTATGTCTGTTTGCCTCAGAAGTGGTCACAAAGTACTGTGCATTCTTGATGTGACCCAGTTCTCAAAGGAGGTGCGGGAATCCTCAGGAGGATCAGGAATGCACTGTGGCAAAGTGCTCTTGATGAGTATGACTTACTGTCAAACCAAGTCAGTAACTGGAAGATGTTAAACTGAAATGAAGAGAGATTGCAATATCTCCATGGATGAGACGTAGAAACCACACTCATTTCATACTGTGATTTTAGTGTCAGTCCCATGCTCTCTTTTGTCAGTCTCCATATCTCATTTGCTCTCAGTCTTTATGCTCAAAGTGTCACTATTTGGTGTTTCTGTTATGTATAAGCTTTAGTAACGTAAAGAGTGTTGATTTATTAAAGCCATGCACAACATTCAGTTTAATACTGCCAGTTCAAGCGAGGTGAGCTTGCCACGCTAGAGGAATTACTGTTTTGTGTTGTGCACCCATTCCCTGCAAGTGCCATTTAAGTGCCAATTTTTCTGAAAAAAATAAGTATTAAAAATAATGTTATAGTCCTCTTAACGCTAATAAGCTTGTATTATTAGAGAGTATGCCTGTTTCAAAGGCGAACTTTCTGGAGAAGTTCCTTGGTCATCCAGCAGTTAGCAGAAGCTTGTGCAATTCATTGCCCAGAGTCTCTCAGAGGGCACATTACTTTGTGATTATATGTTCTGCTAGCTGGGTGGCTGAATTAATGAAAACCCGATACCTTTTTCTTTTCCCAGAACCACCCAGCATGAAAGATGCAGGAAAAATGTTAAATGAAACAGTGGTGGTGAACAATCCAATCCATCTTGAATGCAGAGTGACCGGGAACCCGCTGCCAGGTACGCGCTTGCACCTTTGAGGTTTTCACTTTTCCATGTCTTCTGAAGAGAATGGATATTCTGAATGTGAAGTTAATTCTGTGTTTTTTAAACTAGCTGGAACATCTTAAACACCATGTATAATTAGGAAATGTCAGCATATCAAGTGACGTGAAATAAGTACTGAGGAATTCAGTAGTCCCCACCATTCTTAATTAAATTAATGAAAACCACAAGAATCATCTCCTCTTTTACACATGTGGCCGTGTCCTGTCCATAGGCAAGAGTGCTGTGAGACTTCTGCTACATCAGCTTTCAGCACGTCCGCTCTCTTCCCGTCAGGTCAATATTTTATAACATAGGGCAGACTTAAAACAATACCTTGTGTACTGAGTGTGCCTGTCAGATGTGGCCGTGTCTGGGATCTCATCTCTGGAAGTTGTTAGGCAGCTCTTTGTTTGGTCTGGACCCTTTGCCTGGGGAAACGAGTAGATTTTGTGTGTGTGTACAGTGCATTCGGTGGCTTGCCCTGATGATAAATTATACTAATGAATTTTTGAGTTTTCCGTATATTCGAAGCTTTGGAAACTATGTTGTGTATATCTGCTAGTTTTTTTATTTTCCTCACATTTTGTGCGATTATAATAGTTTTCTTTCCTTTTTTTTTGTATTTTATTTTTTTTAAGACTAGTTTCCCCATAGAAATCATAGACATTTACCCAAGTGAGAGCTGAAGGAGTTTGGCTCCTGTTTAGACTGATGGATCTTTTGTTTCTGAACTGAAGAAAATCTGAAGCAAACTTTTTTTTGTTCTCCTTGTTGAGATATGCAAATTATTTCCTTTTTTTCCAGTGTGTGTCTTTTTTGTTGCCACCTTCTTCTGATGGGATATAAAATACTCTGTTAATATGAGATTAATTTTCTGTGTTAATTATTGTACAGCAAAACTTGGAGGAGTGTATAACTAATACCTTGTATCTAGTATAGCAGTTTATTCTTGTGCTGATTTCAGAAAAAAGGTGTTGCTGATCATCTAGGTTCACCTCCTTTAACTTCTAAAGAATTAATCCTCAGCAAAGTACTATTTTCTAGAATTATTTACACCTGTATAAAAGAAAATTTGAAATTATTTGGGTTATATATAAAATGTTATGAAAACAAAAGGATTTCATATACATTTTGCACTTTTTTTTCCTCACCAAATTGTCAGTTATTTTAGGGTAAAGAATTAGAATGATGGAGTTTGTATAATTTTTACAATAAAACTGGTTTGTCCACCACTTCTGTCTCTGATGTGAAGCTGCATACTCTTGTCAAGATACGGCATTAGCTAAGGACAGTGATAGCTCAGCATCGCACTGGAAAAGGAAGGAGCTTGCGTGCAGGCCAGGTTACTTCTTGACTGTGTGTCTTTCACACAGAGCGAGTTCCCTAAGTAGCAGTTTCACCTAACTCAGTAGTGAAGTGATGCCAGTAACGCACTGGTTACACCGTCTGCTGATGGGAGGTGTCATCTTTTGGCTGAGGTGCAAAAAAGTCCTCATATTTTGTGAATATAAAACTTTCTTTTGGAGTAATGGCAGTTTTCTGGGCTTTATTTTCAGTTTTTCAGTCTGCCAGTTGAAATTTGATTTGATTTCTTGCATTTTGATTCTGTAAAAAGAATAAAAGATGTAAAAAGGATAGAAGATGAAAAAATTATACATATCGTATTACTGCGTATTTTTAAACAGCTGCTGTTGACCTTGGTATAAGATGTGTAAATCCCCCTGAGTGTGCTTTGTGTGGTGGTTCTTTAACTTCAGAACAATTTTTGATAAGTATATTGTGCACATGGGTGACATTGTCACATGTGCTATTGAATTCTGCAGGCATTGTCAGTGTTTTGCACAAATGTTACCGATTTCCTCATCCTCTATTGATTTTTTTAACTGTTCATTAATTGTGATTATTATTGATACTGGCCCGTGATTGTTGTTGTTATATATGTGAAAACTGAGGTGGAAAGCCTGAAGACTATTTGGTGCCGTAAGGGGAGTATTTTGCTCTGTTTTTCCGTCTTTCCTCTCATTGCACAGGTATCTCGTGGTACAAAGACAACCGTCCACTCGCTGGGGATGCAAGTGCCACTCTTCTGAACAGAGGGCAGGTTTTGCAGATTGAGGGTGCTCAGATCTCCGACACTGGCGTTTACAAGTGCGTGGCTGCCAACGCAGTGGGCACAGCGGAATTGGTTTACAGTCTTCAGGTCCATGGTAAGTGTTATAGAACTTAAGAAAAACACCTCCATGTACTTCTCAAGTTTCAACTCTGCTCAGCAGAGTTATTGTCACTGATCGCGCCATCATACTGGAAGAGATGTGGTGATGGTCAGAGGGATGAAAATTCACTCTGGTTCTTCAGCGACATTGTACTGCATGTTTTAAATTAGGAAGATGTGGTGAGAGAAGTCAATTCTAGGAAGAATGGAAAGGTATTTAAGTTACTGCTTCAGCAATTCGGAAGGCCTTGCAATTGCTGGGTTTTGTTGAAGATGACTTTACAGCCCACAGTAGATAAAGGAAGGACACAGATTAAATGCTCTTTCATAATGCAAAGGTTTTAAAGAACAGTGTGCTGTGTCTAGTGAGATGAAGTGGAAGTGTGGGTGTTCGCAGACTTGAGGCACCTGATCAAAAGCCAAACTGGAGCTTTTCCACTGATTTCAGTGGCTTTTGGATGAGACTGTAATGCAAATTCTTATCTTTGATACATGCACATGCATGTAGCTGGTTTGCTGTGGGAGTTGCCTGTGCAAAACTGTGGCCGAGATTTGGCACAGTGTCTCCAACTGAGATGCACGCAGAGTGTGTAGTTCCTACTAACGTGACTTAACAAATAACGAGTTGTGCAGTACATCTCCGTGAAATAATGACCATCGTGGGGAAAACTGATGGCTCAAGGCATGGTCAAAGGCAATTAACCCCACCCAGTGATTAATTCCCAGGAAATGTTTAGAGCCAAGCTCGTTATTCTGGTTAAGCCGAAAAATGAAGAATAACCCCTAAGTATTCGTGTGTCTTTTTATGGGTGGTGAAATTTCAGCAGACCTGTCTGATGTGTTCTAGGGAAATAATACTTTCTGACTTAGACACATCAGATTGTTTCCCCTTCCAGAAGAGAATATATGCAGTTGCAGCCAGAACTAATTGCTTCAAAGGAAGCCGAAACACCTATCCATGAGCACTCTTAATTCAGCTTGTGTCGGGGCCAGGCTTCCCAGTGGCTGCTTTTTGAATTTACTGTGAACAGGTTTATCATCTGGTTTACTTAGAGTTTGATTTTGAGAAGACTTGAGTTTCTTCCCCTCTTAACAGTGGAAGCAAGGTGACTACTTAAGGGAGAGCAAACTCTGAAGCGTTGCATACGGAAAGTCACGCTGCATTTCCTGACAGCCTGCTCCAGGGTTCTGTGTGGCTCTTGGCCCTGTGAGTGAGTACCTGTGGTGGTGAATTACAGGTCGTATTCCACAGCTTCTGTTCTTTATAGCGTTGTGTGCACTAGCTATGGTAGAAATTGTCACATCATTTTTGCATTAAAAACAATGCTTATTTACTGCAGGCTTAACAGGACATGAAGCTTGGCAGGCCTGCTGAAGGAAGCGGGTTGAATTCCAGTTTAGTATATTCATATTATTTCATTGTATTAAGACTTTTCCACTTCTTTCTCACCACTGTAACTTTTTCAGGCATTTGAGAGCAATGGATGCTGTTGTAGTGGAATAGGGGAACTGTGTCCATGTGCATGGGGAGGAAAAGATTATAAAATCACACTTGCTTTTTTCTGCCATTTCTGTTATTACTGGAATTGATCTAAGAGTGAGTAGCCTGACTTACAGGCTGTTAGAGGTTGCTGAATTTCTTAATCTTATTTTCAGTACAGAATTTTATACATTCTTTTTCCTCACGTAGGTTATGTATGAGTAGATGTTGGCATCGTCTGTTTCTAGGAGTGACTTCAAACTTTAAATTTCGTGCTGATACTGACCGTGAAGCTTTAGTACTGAGTTGTTAGTGGTAGGAGCAAATAAACTTCCCCCTTTTTAAATACTTCTTGTCTCCCTTTTCAACATAGCTCTGCAAAATTTACTAGACTGTATACCCACAGTAAGTGTTTTGAGATGTTCCATGAAGATGTTTTTTGTCAGCAGACAGGAAGATGTTACGCAGCCTAATTTGGTGAATGTTCTCATGTGCTCTGCAAGGCCAGTGTATTACTCTATGTATTTATTTGCTTTATGCAGTTTATATGATCTTCTTTCTTTAATAACCACCACTCCTAATGCCTTTCACAAGGTCTAAATGGAATATTATAAAAGTCTGGTTTTATGTTGTGGTTCCTGAGTTTCACAGCTGTCCTCTGGGCAGCTCTGGCCTAGCCCTCTGGGCCCAGTCCTGCTTACCTTGCTCACAAGAGCTCCACTGAAGTTATCGGACTGTTCATGCAAGGAAAGAGCGGGATTTGGCACAGAGCAAAGAAGTGACAGGAGTTCAGTGGGAGCAACATGAACAGTCTTTCAAATGATGCACTGCCTTGCAGAAAGAGAAGTAATGTCCAAAAGTAAGCGGCCCATTTAATTTCATTGTGATTAATACTCATATGTAGCTGTTTCAACTGTCTTTGGTTTTGTTCTGTTTTTTCCCAGTCCCGCCATCGATTGCTGGCGGCAGTGACACGATGACAGTGGTGGTTAATAATCTAGTGCGACTGGAGTGCGAAGCAAGAGGCATCCCTGCGCCTATTCTGACGTGGCTAAAAGATGGTAGCCCTGTTTCCAGCTTTAGCAATGGGCTCCAGGTACTGGGTTCGAATCCTGCTATCTCTGCTGTTTCCTCTTGTGGTAGGAAACTTCTTAAAGTGGTGTGGTTTAGTGGGACAGAATAAATTAGAGATTTAGGAATGGGAGTATAGGGCCATTTGCTCTAAGTTATTGGTGGAAGTTTAGCTCCAGTAATAGAAATAGAAATGTGAAATAGAAGATATGGATACATTGGAATAAGATGGTCCTTTCAACTGATTTCATACTGAGTAAGAGTTTGCATCAGCAGATTTTTCACTTGCTGACAAGAAAAGGAGACTGGACCATATTCCTGTGCTGAAGAGATCTGTAGAGCTCAAGTTTGTGTAATATCTCATTACATAAAATAGTAGTTCGGAGGAAAAAAGAAAAAAAAGGACCCCTGATGTAAGGAGGTATTTCTGAGTTAAAAGAAGCTTTTTGAAAGCTCATTTTATGACATGAAAGGAAAGAAGGGAACTTTGTATGCTATGGGTACGACTCAGGATACAGACCAAAGGTGGGACAGAAAGTTTTGAATGGGTAAGAGGGAGAAATGTCCAGAGGCTCCAAAGACTTGCAAGTGCTAGTGGCTCCCTACAGACTTAATGAAGTGATAGTTCTGCTTTTGCACGTCTTGATCAAAAGAGAGCAACAGAGCCTGGGGATCAGAGAGATGGCGCAAAGCAGTGACACAAGTGTTTGTAACTCATTTTGAAATGAAACCTACTAGTTCTCTCTGCTTGTTTTACATGAGGGCACGTATTCCACGTGTGTCGTGCTTGTATTGCAGGTTCTGTCTGGGGGCCGAGTCTTGGCGTTGACCAGCGCTCAGATCAGCGACACAGGGAAGTACACTTGCGTGGCAGTCAATGCTGCGGGTGAGAGCCAAAGAGAGATTGATCTCAGAGTTTACGGTGAGATTTTCTGACAAATTCCTTTGTTTTGGTCGTGAGAACTGTTCATGGAACTTTACTTAAGCACACTGTGGCCCAGACCTTTAGCAACACTGAATAAAAGTGGTTCCAACCCATAATGGAAGGCAAAGTGATGATGAGGAGGTGTGTGCATGGGTGCATGTAAGTGAAAATGTATATATGCACAAATGTACACATGTATTAATTATGGAAGTATGTTCTTCTGTGTAACCTGGAAGAAATGTAGCTGCAACAGTGAATTTACAAGTTTAATACATACAGGCTCATTTATAAGTGATAGGAGGAAATGTGTGTTTGTATAAAAAGCATGCAGATCTCACGGGCAGAAGATATTACTGGGGCCAGAGCTCAGTTCTCTTTATTGAACCAGAATGTGTCATCGTGAGTCTGCTGTACACTGTCCAGTTCCTGTTCCATTTTCAAGCCTTGCTATGCCCGACTAACTGGTGGTGGGCTTTTTAGTGCTGGTAGTGATGCTGTGCTGAGCCCAACCAGCCAGCTTTGTCTTTTTCAAGAAGCAGGAGATACTCTCTCTTTTGTACTTTGCCAGTTTTCCAAATTATGTCAGGTAAGTTAATTCTGAAATCTTTTTGACTGAACTCATGTAAATTCATCGTTCCTTCTGATTTCTTGTAGCTTGTCTGAGCTTCACCCTGATTTTTTGTAACTTGCATAAGATGCCTTTTCATGTTGTGTTCTTAGAGATCATCGGCAATGTGCCGTTACCAGAGAGCGTGCCGCGCTGCTAGCAG